CCGGCCGCGCGCAGCCGGGAGCCTGCGGGGCGCGGGTAAGCGGGCTCTGTCAAAGCACTCCATCCCCCAGGAAGCTCCCAAACCTCGCCCTACCCCACCTTCATCGACAGCAGCCAGTCCCCTGGCCCCAGGAGTGAGCTGCGGCCGCGTGTTCCTCGCGCGTGGGCTCCCACGGCCCTTGTGTGCCTGCCTCCCCTCTGCCCCTCGGCCCCGCTCAGGACGCACCGGCAGCGCCGCGCTCGTGGTGCCTCAGGTTGTTGAACCAGCCGTCATAGCGCTGCACTTCCCAGGGCAGCGAGAGCGCGTCCTGGCCACCTGTGGGCACGGAGAGCGGCGCCCTCAGCACTTGCCTCCAGGGATCCTTCGAGGAACTGTCCGCCTCCGCCCGCGGTTCTCCAGGTCCCAAGCACCCCCAGCCGGACCCAGGCGGCTATGCCTCCGAGTCGTGGGAGGCTGCGCTCGGACGTTTCCCGTTCTGCGGAGCCGCGCAGCAGTCTGCCCCGACGTTCCAACCTCAGGGACCCCGGTGCTCCCCCAGTGAGGAACGCCTAATACTTGCCGGCAGGATCCAGGGGTCCAGTTAGCAAAGCTCCTAGGAGTACCAGTGCCTCCGGTCTTGCGCAGAGCATGTCGCCTGCGGGGGAGGCGGTATGTGGGACACAGAACAGGCCTCTCCCGCCACACACACACACACACCGGCAGCTGGAGGAGCACCAGCTGTCTCTACTTCTGGAGCAAAGCTGTTGGAAACATCACCAAGGACCCACATCCGCACTGTTTCCAGGACGGCTGGAGCCCGAGGCATCGATGCTGTTTCCACACTCCACCCGGTGGGAGAGCTCACTCTGACCACACGCTCCCGCTCAGCACAAGTCCTCTGGGGCATTCCAGTTCCAGACACGATGGATCGAGCCTAGCAGAGAGCACCCAAGGCCTCGAACCCCCCAGCCCCCAGCCCCCGCCACTGCTGCTAGAGGAGGTAGGGAAGAAACATGAGGCTCCGGGGCCGGGAGGCCCGGGCCGCCGCCCCCCCC